CACACCATCGCCATGCAGCATGTCTGTCAATACATTCCATCCGCGTACCCCCCGGAGGCCCCGTAGACAGTATACTCTGCCGAGCACCCCAAACACCAACTGGTGTTTCTGGTTTAATGGTTTATTTTGTTGCAAGAGCATGGGAGAAGATGCGACTTCTACTGTTTGTTGCACATTGACATTGACTTCTGCAGCTTTTGGGATGGGTTTTGTGTGATACATAAATCCGGGAATAATCTTGACAATGCAGCGAGCAGGGGGGCTGTTGGATGTACTCACAGCATTGACAGATTAGTGCAACCGAGGAACGTTCTGAGAAGATGGAGCGGGGAATGTGGGGGGTTCCGCAGTTAGTTGTGATAAATTAGGGGAATGGTGGTACCATCTTTGCCACATATTATTGTTGTTTTCTGGTAGACTAGATATACGTGTCTGCAACGGTGTTGGCCACGTGCCCTTGGATAAGTCATCTTCCTTTGCCCGGCCATCACGCTCTGGGCGATCACGCCCGTGTCCATCCAACATATCCACCAGCTATCACGCGACCAGGCTGTCACGCCTCTAGGCTATCACGCCATCACAACAGTTATTACAACACCATCATCGTCAACACATCAGAGCCATCACGCTCCAGAACATCACAGACGCGGCGGGTTACCACACCACCCGCGGGCAGTTATTAACTGTATTTTATCGTTGCCGGTAAAAAACTCGCTGCGTGGTTCATTTATTTTTGCCGTCTACAACTGCGCCGGGCGCACCAAGCTCTCCAACACTCCCCCTTGCCTCAATCTGACGGGCGTGTTTGTTGCTGACCTCAAGCCAGCCGGAAACAAACCTAACTTTCTACTCGTGCAGCCTCCCTGTTATTGTGTTGGTGGCGCGCCGACTTCAAGGCCTTTCGCTGGGCGCTGGCCTTCTCTTTGGCCGCGCTGACATGTTCTCAGCAGACTGCTGTGTGTGCGTGCGGCGGTGGTGCGTGTGATGTGTTGCTTCGAAGAAAGTTGCTAAATGATTATCGAAAAATCGTGAGTTTTTTTCCACAGACCAAGCCTCCCTCGGCTCTTAAATCGGTACTATTCTTCCTTGTCGTGGGTTCTGGCGAGACTGTCAGGAGCGATCCTCAGAACGACGGCTTAAATCAAAATATGTTTGCTTTGAGTCCGAAACTATCAATTATTCTTTTTTTTTTCAGCGTCCACCCTTCCTCCAGTATTTCAACGTGAACCAACCGTCGTCTGAAACGTTCTCTGATGATTTTCACGCGGTTTGATTCTTTTTTTCGAGTTCCCCTCCATCGGTTTCCCCCCCTCCGACCGTTTGCCATCGGGGTTGGGTTTTCGTCGCTTGGCAACGACGTTGTAAAACAAGCCAATTCACTTCGTGAACTCGGCAACCAGGTTACCGTTTTTTTTTTTTACCTTCGGTTTTTTTTTGGCGGTAACCATAATGGTGGTCGAGTAGATCATGTTGTGCGGGGTGGAGAACCCTCACTCCGCGCAAGGGGGATGATCGCACCACGTTGTGTTGAAATGGTCAAGCACCCTCGAGGCAGTTACAC